TCTCTATCATCTCGTTTCTAGTAACAATGGAAATAGTGGTAAAGAAATATTTGATAGAATCACAGGAATTCTGCATTTCTCGTTTTCTGCCTGTTTCCACCCTGCTCCAAGAGTAGATCGATGTGCAGGATTTATTTCGAATTATTAAGTTCTTTGTATGTTTGCATGGTGAAAAATATAATAGTTTTGTTTGTGGAAGCACCACATAAATTTATTACTGCAAAGCTTTCGATCCGTAAGCCCGGATCTTCATCAGTGCTAATAATATGTGCACTGATGAAGATCCGGGCTTACGGATCGAAAGCTTTGCAGTAATAAATTTACGTGGTGTTTCCACAAACAAAACTATTATATTACGAATTACTCAATGTTTTCCGATTTATTCCCTGTAATATCATGATTACAACTTAACAACTGAACGCATTCTGATGATTTGTTTTTAACTCTAGTATCATGGCCACAATGACCACCAACTATTGCGAAAAAGGACCACTTAATATCCATGACGGCCAGACCTTGGCATTTTTAGGAAGTGTCTCTAAAGAAGGCACAAAATGTTAGTGATCTGACCATTGTGGTGGAGCCCAATCGAGGCACAAAATGTTATTGATCTGCCCATTGTGGTAGAGCCCATCGACGCACAAAATCTTAGTGATCCGCCCATTGTGGTGGAGCCCATTGAGGCACAAAATGTTAGTGATCCGCCCATTGTGGTGGAGCCCATCGAGGCACAAAATGTTACTGATCTGCCCATTGTGGTGGAGCCCATCGAGGCACAAAATGTTATTGATAACATCGAGGCACAAAATGGTTATTGATCCACCCATTGTGGTGGTGCCCGTTGCGACAAAGTATTACTGATCCGCCCATTGTGGTGGAGCCAATCAAGGGGAAAAAATATTGTTGAATTAACATTAAAGAAAAAAATAATACAACATTCTCTGATACTCAACTTTGGTTTATAAACTATGGGAAAGATTATCAAGGGCTTGTGAGAAATGAGCAAGGACTAGAACATCACTATTTTACACTTGCTTCAGCTTTATTAAAAACGTTCATGCATGACAAGTATACTCTTTTAATATTAGAAGGCTATATGATGGCCTTGATAAATAGTGTAGACTCGTTTTTCTATCTTTTTTACCCTCATGCTAGAAATTATGCTGGCATGCCTTACCCTAATGGCACTGCTGTTGTCATGAAATTTGCAAGTCTCACTGAATTAGAGAAATATTTATGTTTGTTGTTATGTTACCTGCAAAAAACAGTCTAGAGAAACTCAGTCTATGAAGCAAACTAGACTACAAATAGCCAGGGAATATAAGAAAAGAAAGCAAGGCGCAGAAACTGAAACAGAAAAACAGACTAGACTTGAAAATGCTAGAATGTCTAAAAAAAGACAACGAGGAAGTGAAGAAAATGAGAGTAAAAAAAAGAGAGACTTGAAAATGCAAAAAGCTATAAAAAATTAAAGCGAGCAAAGGTGTCTTGTGCTGATGAGCAAGCAAGAGAAAATCTAACAATACACTGTCTATCAGTGTACAGAATGTAAGGAGGCATGGCCTTTGAAGTCTAAACCTAAGTCACCTTATGTGTGCTCACAATGCTTGAGAGATAAAAAGTTTCCCAAAACGTTTTCATGTGAAAACTCAATGATACCTTATGTGTTCCAAATGAACTAAAAGATTTAACTCAGGTTGAGGAAATGTTAATTGCTCGTGCTCTTCCTATCATGAGAGTATATATTAAACCTGGTGGTCAACGAGGTTATTCAGGGCATTGTATTAACCTGCCACAAAATGTCACAGAGCTTGCAACATCTTTGCCAAGATATCCCAAAGACTTGGCAGTGATTATTGTCAAGGTAAAAGGTAAAGACAATACCTTCAAAGATGCCAGGGTGCGAAAACAAAAAGTGCACAATGCTTTAGTTTGCCTTATTAATAATAACCCACATTATTCTGAGATATTAATAAATGAAGATGCATTAAACTCTTTACCTGAGAATGGTGTACCACCAGATCTTAGGACTGTTGAGACTGATGATGATATAGTCTCTGATGATAATGGTTCTTCTGATTTAGGGCCTACTACCGATAACACGTCAGAGGATATTGCTTACAATGACTCTACTGAAATGAGTAGTTTTTTACCTGTTGGTGAACAACAGCAAAAAGAAATTGAAGCTGTGACAAATCAGCTTTGTGAAAATGAGCCAATTGAATGGCCTTCAGTCGAAAATGAACCATTGAATGAGTATCCGGTTTCACATTTGGCCACAATGGCTTTTCCAACTTTATATCCTGATGGCAAAGGTGATCCTACTAATCAAGGACTTCTGAGAGATGTCCCTCTTGAGGAACGAATAAAGCATCTATTAAAATTTGCTGAAATTATTGATGGTAAATGGGTATATCGTTTTGCTAACCATCCCCGATTTTCATATTGGGCTTTTGACATGATTCAAAGAAAACGAATCTTACAGCAAAGTGGAATATTTTTAAAACAAAACCCAGGTGAAGTACATCTCACCATCGATGAGCTGCATGAAATGGCTGCCAGTAACAATGCTAATGTGTTTATGTCTAAAGTGTCTAGATATGTTGGCAATATTGCAGGTACTAATGCTTATTGGAATAAAGTAAGAGAAGAGCTTAAAGCTATTATAACTAGTGTTGGAGCACCAACATTATTTTTTACATTTTCCTCTGCAGATATGCATTGGCCTGAATTGCATGCTTTATTTAAAGCTGATGCAGATAGTGATATTAGTAATTCTACCAGTGAGGTAAGACGACAAAATGTTATTAACAAGCCCCCTGTTGTAGATTGGTTTTTTACCCAAAGACTAGAAAGCTTTGTAAAACACTGGCTTTATGATACACTTGGTGCTAAATGGCACTGGTTTAGATATGAATACCAAGGTAGAGGTAGTATCCACTGTCATGGTACTGCTAAACTAAATAATGACCCAGGTTTGTGTCAACTTACTCAGACTGCTTTGAAAGGTTTCTTAGCTCAAAAATTTAAAGATGAAAATGATTGTTCTGACACACCTGAACTAGACGAGGTCACAATGCTGCTGACACAGTATGTCAGTGTGTTGATTGGTTGTTATCAACCGTCAATCCTAATTCACCAGATGAGGACATGTGGATAAGACCTGAAGTTCATCCATGTCAAAGAAGTCATCAGGGCATTCCTGAACATGAAAAACAATCCGATTACATAGATCTCTTAAAAATGGTACAGCGACACACTCGTTGTAGTACAAGCTATTGTCTTAGAAAAAAGTCAAATGAAACAGAATTGAAATGTAGATTTCGTTTCCCTTTTGATCATTGTCCAAAGACAAAGTTAGAGTTTGAGAAAATTCACACTTCAGGTGATAATGAGCATTATAGAGCTAAGATTGTTACTAAGAGAAATGATGCTAGATTAAATAATCATCAACAACTTCAAATCCAAGGATGGAGAGCTAACTGTGATATTCAAGTTCTTATTGATCACTATGCTTGTGTTGAATATCTTACAAAATATGCAGCTAAAGGTGAGCCAAAATCACCTATATTGAAACAGGCATACAATTCTATTGTGCAAAATGTTCACAGTAATACTGACCCTCGTAGAGTTATTAAGAAGGTAGTTATGAAGTCTCTTGGTGAAAGAGATTATGCCGCTCAGGAGACAATGCATCATTTGTTGTCTTTAAAACTCCATAGCTCATCATTTAAAGTGGTGCCAGTAAGTTTAAATGGTTCACGTAGAGTGCGTGACACTGCAAGTATTGAAGAAGGTGAATCTTGCACCGATTACTCACTTCTCGATGTGTATGGTAATCGTCATCAATATGAACATGAACTTTGTCATGAACATGAACTTTGTTCAGTTTGCTAGAACATATAAAGCTGTTAATAATGAACTGACAAAATTGCCAGAGAATGTTATACCAAGAATATTTCCAACTTATTCTCCTAATCCTAAAGGTCCAAATTTTGGTCTTTATTGTAAATATCAACTTTTAAGGTATAAACCCTGGAGAACGACCCAAAACAATGCATGGGGTGATCAGGAACCAACTGACGAGGCCCTTATAAATTATTGGCATGAATTCTTGCAAACATCTTATGGACAATCTAATGTCCCAGATTGGTTTGAAAAATTGCAAAATGTCATTCAAAGTCAAGAACGTGAAGATGAACCTTCTCAAGAGCAGGAGGTAACTCGAGAATAGTGGATGGTATTGTCAGACCTTCACACTCCTTTTGAAATTTCTGAAGGAATACCAGAGTCAGCACATGATTGGCATCTTGATCGAGTTAATTATTCAGAACAGCAAATTTGTGAAATGCCTACAAGGATAAAAACTAAGAAGGAAGACTACACTATTGATGAGCAATATGATGTTGTTGACATCAACAGCTTTAGTGAAATGCAAAAACTTGCTTATGACATTGTTAAGTCTCATTTTGATGATGCATCGTCTGAAAAAGAGTCATTATGTCTAATCATAAATGGTGTTGCAGGTACTGGTAAAAGTTACCTTATTAATGCTATTCGAAACCTTCTACAAGGTAAATGTGCTGTTACTGCTACAACAGGTAAAGCAGCATACAATATAAAAGGTGTAACTGTGCACTCTTTATTAAAGTTACCTACAGTATAGGGTCAAGAGGTAATAAGGACCTGACAGGACAGACTTTGTGTAGGTTGCAGGAGAACCTTAATAATGTTGAATACATCATTATTGACGAATATTCCATGCTTGGCCAAGTTACTTTTGGCTGGATAGACAAACGTGGCAAACAAGCAACTGGTTGTAATGGCAAAGTATTTGGAGGAAAATCTTTGATTTTGACTGGTGATCCAGGTCAATTACCACCGGTTGCTGATAAACCTCTTTACCATTCTAAACCATCGAATGCTGTTGGTGAACAAGGTTATCAAGCATATCATATGTTTGATAAAGTTATTAAACTCGCTGTAAATCAACGAGTGCAAGGCATGAGCTCTGAGCAAGTGAAATTCAGAGATCTGTTGTTACGACTTCGCAAAGGTGAGTCAACTGTGAATGACTGGGAATTACTTCTCACACGTCAACGATCCAATATCTCAAACTTGACTGAATTTGAAGATGCCACTAGACTCTTCTATAGCAATGAGCAAGTTGGTAATTACAACCATGACCAGCTAGCCAAACTTGAGCATCCTATTGCTCATATTAATGCTCGCCATTCCTCTGCACTGGCAAAAACGATATCTGCAGATGATATGTCTGGGTTGGAACCAGTTGTGTTTCTGGCAAAAGGTGCTAGAGTGATGTTAACTATGAGTTTATGGCCAAGCGTTGGGCTCTGCAATGGGGCTACTGGAACAATCGTTGATATTATTTTCGAGAACAATCATCAACCACCTGACCTACCTATTGCGGTTATAGTAAAGTTTGAAAACTACAGAGGTCCAGTTTTTGATCAGGAAAAACCAATGTGTATTCCTATATGTCCAATCACTGTCTCGTCGCAGACTGAATTTGGTTTCCATGAGAGGCAACAATTGCCTCTCAGACTTGCTTGGGCTCTTACAATACACAAGACGTTCGAGACACATTTCTTTCAAAACTTTGTTAACCTGATTCACTTTATTTGCAAGATCACCATTATCTATCCGAGTAATTAGACCAGATATTATAACCTCTGTCTCAGGTAAAGTATTCTTGACTGACGCTGCTAGGGAGATTATTTCTTCGGCATGTTTAGTAGAAGTTTCCCTGCTCTTAAGGCTATTAGTGCGAACATGCAAAATAAGTTTGTCAGGTCGTTTTCTTTGTATGGGTTTGACGTGGTCTGCCATATCTAAGATAGTGCATCCAGGAAATAGGTTATTATGACCGTCAGTAATTATTTCAATATATCGAAATCATCCCACCTCATATCTCGTCCTGGCAAAACGGGGTCATATTAACAGCCCTTTATTCAGCAAATTGCGCATGGTGTCTTTGATCCCTTGGGGGTGTAGCAGCACTTTCCTTGCGATAGTAACTACTAGTACTTATTAATAAATTCAGATTTTCCTGATAACTATTCAGTTGTTCTGCAGTACATCGTTTTCATGGTATTTTGTCATAAATATTTATACTGTGATTTTCGATATCGTTTGCAATTCGGTCCGAGACTTGGACAGACAAACATAGTTTCAGCGGTAGATGGAATGCTGTATTGTCAGGATGCTCACAAGATCTCTCTACCGAATCGAAAAACTGCATTAATGTATCATCAATAATCACATAATAGAGTTTCCAGCTCTAGAGATATATATATAAACTGAGAATTTTTACAAACAGGTGATACATTCGCGGGAATTAAATTTAACACATTACAAAATTCCTGTAGCTTAAGTCCCCTTTTATTTAACATCTGATGCAGACTTATTTCTTGCAAATGTGCATTGAAGTCCCCGAGTAAGACCAAGTTAAAGCCATAACTCTTCTGCTGGATACAAAACTGCTCTAACTTGTATGTTTAAATAATCAGTAGGCTAAAACTGTAGTTTGTAGATGGGAAATAGACTGATACCACAGCAATTTTCATGTTTTCTATTGTTATTGATGCCCACCTATACGATCACAGGAAGTTTGTATTTCTCGCGCTTTTAAACATTTTTTGAAAAGCAATGCGACACCGCATTGGTCCCCTTCTGCACCGCTCGTTTATATTGTTTAATTAAAGAAACTCGAGCTGCTATACGAAATAACATCGAAGTTACTATCTAGACTGTCCAGAAACGTTAGTTCATCTTCATACAACCAATGTTCGCTTAATGCTAAAATATCCAATGAACGCAACAACGCTTTTACATAAATAAAGCTTCCTTAAACTCGGCCACAATTCCAGCAGCCAAGTTCAATTTTTGTCAATTTTCGCAGGACCGACATCAGAGCTATTTTTGTTCACCTACTTTTGTTTAGAGAGCCATTTTCTAACGTATACGTGCTTAGGTCAAAAGTCTTTCTCTGAGGCGCGCTCAAAATCTTTCTTAAGCCCGGCGCACACTGGACCTAACAGCTGAGCTGAGCGTCACTCGTGACTGTTGGCGTAAGCAAGTTCCCCCAGTGTGCGGTGGCGTTTTGAGCGATTTCAGCCACGCGTGCCATCGGCACCTAATATTCAACATGTTGAATAATTTCAGTCACAAATGAACATTTCCCCCAAGTGTGCGCGCTCGAAAAGCTATCACCTTTCATTGTAGATCGAATAGGCATGCATAATAAAACATAAGACAAAAGGAAAATAATGAGGAATATTCATGTCTTGCTACTCAAGTTTGATTTTGCTTTGTCAGTTTCTTTTGTTTCAATTTCTTCTGAGCTCAAAATTGATTTGCAGCTTCTACGTATACAGGGTGTCCCCAAAAAAGTGACACTAGAGAAATTATCTCATTGTTCTTAAGCCGCTCTTAAAACGCGCGTGATTACACGCCTGGGAATTTAATGAACTTGTATTTACATTTAAGCATTTTAAAACGTTTTCGCTTTGTCCAAATATTTTAACGCCCGAGTCAAGGAAAACGATTACACTAATAAACGGTTTGCTTTTTTATTTTAAATTCCAGAATCAGAAGTTTATGCACCTGTGGGATCAACTTAGTGCTAAGGCATTCAAATTATAACAATAGGATAATTTCTATAGTGTCACCTTTTTGGGGGGCACCCTGTATATTTTTGTTAGACTCAGAAGATGGGTTTAGAATTGTTCTCGTTAATGGGTTTTTGTTACTAATTGATTTTACTTTGCCAATTTCCTTTGTTTCCTTTCTAAGCTGCTCAAGGTCTTTAGTAGCTTTTGAAAATTGCTTTCATGTTTTTCTATGTTTTCTTCATTTTTATTCAACTCAAACTCACATGATTCTAGTTTCGCCTTTGTATTTTCCAAAGAAGACTTACAATTTCCTTTAAATGTGATAAGTTCCGATTTAAGAGCTGCATGAATTTTAACTTGCTTTGCACATAAATCAGACTTTACCGGCTTTCATTTAAGTGCGCATCGATATAGTTAGACCGTGTATTCATTATACATTGACTGCATACAGGATGTCTAAAAAAACGCTATGGAAATTAAACAGGCTGTTGTGCATCACAAACTTAACTAAACAATTCAATTTTTACATATGGCGAAAAGTGCTGTTATTTAGCTTTTCTATGATATATTTCTTAAACCGTAACGATGAGAAATAGCCAAGATACTCGACACTCGTCAAATAACAATTTTCGGTCTAAATCACATTCTTCCACCGTTGGGAATTGAAAATAATTAATTATGCAAAGTTAATCAATCCAAAAGCACCGCGAGTCTGCTGCAAGGTACTTGTTTTGTAAAACGTTTTGATTACGAATGTTTTCCGTTCAGGGGTTAATTGAACCACGATTAATGCAATAATGGACGTTTTTAATGTTTCACTAAAACAAATATTGACGAGTTGAACTTATTTTAGATAATTTAACATTCAATTTTAATTCCCTTTTGAGTTTTGGGAATTGTTTATGTTTCGTTTTCTATGCAATTTCCAACTGTGGAAGAATGTGATTTCGACCGGCAATGTTTATTTGACGAGTATATGTGGCCATTTCTCATCGTTACAATTTGAAAAGAGTATCATTGAAAAGCTAAATAACTGTTCTTTCGTCCTATGTAAAAATTAAATTGTTTAGCTACGTTTATGATGCACGACAGCCTGTTGAATTTCCATAGCGTTTTTTTTAGACACTCTTTGGTAACTGTTTATTTCGTAGTGTAAGCCATCAGCTTTTCTAGGTTGTCGGCGACCCTATATAGTTCTTGCAGTGTCGTTTTCAATTTCAAACTTCACACTATATCCTTGGATCCCTAGTTACTTTTTTCTATGTATCGCAGCCTATAATCATTTATCAGATATGTAAAGCATTTTGATGTGGAATAAAGCGTTCGCTTAAGGTTACAGGACACCCTTTTTGGCGTTTTGCGGAAAATCGCTACTGCGCGCTCAATGTCAGTCCGACTTGAATCAAATTTTCACCAAATGTTCGCCAGTCTATGCAAAATATGGTAAAGTCGTAAAATTAGCAAACAATAAAATAATATAATACCGTTACGCTTTTGAGTTGTGCTCCTGCTGGTTTTAAGTTATATTTATGAAAATATCATTTTTATACAGTAAAATAGTTGTTCTAAAAAATCGTGTTCGGAAATTTCTGTTTATTTCGTCATTCCGCTGATATGGCGATTTCTTTGACGACTGCAATATATTTCTGAATTGTTTGAGTGAATTGCTCTTTATTATTAAAATATCCAAAATTTAAAAAAAGCCGAACAAAATTTTGAAACTGACGTCTTTAGCTATGTCCTGTGAAAATCTGAGAAAAATTGATCAAAACCCGCAGGAGCACAACTCGTTTGAAAATCAGTAATTACCGTAAAATTCTTCGGGAGAAAATTGAATTTGAATATTACATTTTCAATGTTTTTCTTATTGCAGCGAAATGTATTTTATTAAATAACTCACGAGTTTTCAACATTTTTCGTTCAATCTTGGTCAGATAGTAGAACTAATCTAATGCTTTAATGGAAACCAATAAAAAATTTTTAGGCAAAATTAACCCTCAAAGGTGTTCTGTAACCTTAATTAATTGTTGTATCCAAACTTTCAACCTGTGAACCAGTTTTGACCCAATTTTCATGTTTAATTTCTAGGTCGCCAAGGGCAAGTGTCATAAGTACCAATTCAAGTATATCAGATGAAGAACGAAGGTGGACTGTGGTTGGCATTTGTATTAACAAAGTTCTTACTCCTCAGTTAAGAAATATTCTTGCAACTGAGATACAGAACTGGTATCATCTGCTGTGTCAACCACCACATGAAATTGACAAGCAAGTTTTTTCCAAACATAAAAATAAACTATACCCATCTAAGTTTCCTTTGAAATACGAGAACATCAACAATAACAATGTCCACAAGTTGCCCAAAGCTTATGACTTTAAAGTTAAAGATCCTTTGTCTTTGGCAAAGTTGTTTGTCCAACCTTTCATGGCAAAATTTACTGCTTTTGACCAAACTATGGACATGTCTGCGGTTTTGGCAATTATGTGCGAAGCAGTTCCATTTGTAACATCTGGCGCTGCAGTTGATGCAAAGACAGTAAGGTCAAACATCAGAAATAAGTGGGCCCATTGTAACTTCTCGGATTGGACCAAACCAGCATTCATGAACGCCTTTCGAGACATGCACTCTTTAGTGAAGAAGATGAATCTACCACCAGCTGATGAACAAGCAGTATGTGATGATTTGGATAGTTGGAAGGACAAAGGTATCCGTTGAAGTACATATTGTATAATATGTTAAGTATTTTTTATTGGTTTGATAATTAATATTCTTGTGTTCGAAACAGCACTGGTTCCAATTCAAAATACCGCGAATGTCAGAAGCCGGCACTTCTCAGGGACGTTCACGCCCATTATCGTTATTCAATATTTTAATTTCAGTATTTTTTATTCTACTAGTCTATCATCAGACAAACTAGGTTTGTACGCCCACGCATTGCTTTACAACTTCCGTTCTGGCCTGACACGGTTGCAGTTAAAGTTTTAACTTTCCCCTGATTTAAGGCAAGTTTGGCACCATTTTGGGTTCATTTTAGTATATTTTTATTCTGCTAGTTTATCATGCAGTCAAACTAGATTACACCTATACATTCCCATACATTCGTTTACAATTTCGGTTCTGTCCTGGCCGGTTGCAGTTAAAGTGTTAAGCTTCCCGTTATTCAACTTCAAATCTTTTCTAGGGGGGGGGGGGGATTGTGCTGCTAGAAAACACGCGACACAAACCGTATTTTATTACGTTTCTTATAATTTCGCTGTTGTTGGTTGTAAACAGTACAAATTGTCTGGAGAAACTTCTGACTTTGATTAAATTTGTGCCCTTCAGTTTTACTAGCGAAAGAAATAAGTTGGTGTTTAGGAAACAAGAAATCTCGATTGTCTTAGATTTAAAATTGTCGGTGTGGATGAATGGAATGGATGAGTGGATGAACGGAATGGATCAAGTAAAATATGTAAATTGGGAACGTTATGAACCAAAGTATCCAATTTGAAAAACGATGATAATCTAGGATAAACTAATTAGCCTATGATTTTGTGGTCCAATTAACCTTAATTTTACTCGCACTTTGGGGTGACATTAACGTGCGGAATTGATTAGCCTTTGTAGGAGCCGGTTTTTTGGGGGAGGACTTGCGGGCGAAAGAATTTAGAGCGGGTGACTCCACCCGCGCGCCGTTCTCCCGCTCTAATTTTTTTTCACAAGTCCTCTTCGAAAAAACCCGGCTGCTACGCAGGCTAATAAATTGATTCGTTCTATTCACTTTCAATATAGCTACGAAAGATAACAACATTAGGTTTATAGGTTACGTACGCCAGTTCAACTCATTTTCTATAGCGTACAGTTTTGAAATTAATTTCAGGCTTGCAGTTGTGTTTTGGGCAGCCTGTTAATTCTGCACTCCTGAAATTGGTTACGGAAGAGGTCGCAGAACTTTATATGTCTGTTAAAACCTTGGAATTTGAAAGCGAATCACAGGTTAGAGGAATTTTCTTTTTTGAAATTTAATAATTAGTAGATAAGTAGTAAGAAAAGGCATGGAATAATTTTCGATAAGGCACACAATCTCGTTCCTAGAGTATGCCTGTTCGCGGGTTATGTAGTGGCATGACTCTCGGGAAATCGAATCGAAATCGTTATTTGATTGGCTGCCGCGATCATCAATGTTGCCGACACATTAATGCGTGTTTTTTTGCGAGAATTACGCGGGAACATACGCGAAGAGAGAATTATCAATGTTTATCAGGTTTGGAATGCGAAATCAAACAATATAAATCGAAGGATATAATAATATTAATCGTATGAACAAGTATTGGGACGTTGGCTATATACTTACAAAATGGCATAGTATTTATGAATGACTTTTTATCGATCTACAGTACGAGTATATTGACATATTTGTATGTAGAAACGACGGCGTACAAGTTTCTCATTTATTCCATGATAACATTGGCTAAAGGAAATCATCGCACACGTTGTCGTTGTTTTGTTAAATTGATATAGTGTTGCCGGGACTTTGGAGTGACAGCTTTTGCTTGTGTTAAAGCTTTAAACAATACTAACAGTACATTAGATCTTCCGTTCATGTTCATGCACTTGACATATATGTGCTAAGAGATCACTTAATTAACTACACATCAGTTATGGTCAGCATGTTGTAGCCCGTGGTCTTTGTGCTTTTGTAAAAGGAGTTATCTATAAATTAAAGATGCGAGGTGTTTTTGTAGCATTTGTATAAATCATAGAATAATTAATTTAAGAAGTTCCTCAGGTTGTAAAATATTTGGTTATAGATTTGCTCACTTGCTTTGTAAATGATTGCCACTTCACAGCATGATGTAAGGCTGTAACTAAGCCAAACCTGAAATTATTTTTGCATCAAGGTAGCAGTTAATGAAACATTTGTGTCTGGGTACAGGTACTTGTCTGTTGCTATGTGAAACAATGTCAATGTTGTTTATAGCAATAAGAGTCATTGTGAATCAATACAAGGCTCATTTGCTAAAAATATACAAGCATTTATTCCATTTCCAAACTATTATTTTATTGGAAATTATATATAAAAGGAGATACAGAAGGATTGAAAGAGCTACCAGTTTCAATCAAATAACTAGTTAATTTCTGTATCAAGCCTCCTGGGTGTTATTTTTTCCCTAGCGTCATTGAGGGGGCACTTGTTCTAAATATATGCAATAAGTCCATATTCAAGTAAAAAATGTCCATATTCATTTACCGTTGTACTATATTTTATTAAAATACTGCGGAAATGCAATATAATTCATGATTTTAAGAATTAATTGAATGGGGGCTGCATGGTAAAGGGGGGGGTTATTTATTTTTGTATCCAAAAAGGGGGGTATTAGAGAGGGACTTAAAAGAGAGAGGGGGGGGGGGCTAAATATAGAAATTACAGTACCTCCATTCCTTCCTCTCCCTTCCCAAACATGGAGAGGGGTCAATTGCAGGGGTTGATGTATTGCATGTTATGTATCTGGTAATATGGAGTGATGAGCTAGTAATTATATCCTTACCTATAATTAGTTGCTGATTAAATGTTCAAAGATACACAGTGTGAAACAGGAAAAACAAATGGGAGATACCCACTGCAACAAACTTTCAACAAATTTTTATGGCCTTCTTCACTTCATTTAATTCTTACTTTCGACACAAGTAATTAATTATAATTACAAACACAATGTACTGTTATTTAAAGACTTGATATGTGCTCCATGTATGTATAATATAAAAAATGTGGTTATAATATTGTTAAAATATGTGATATATAATACTGTAAACCTCTGACTATAAGCCCTGGGCTATATTCTTTTGTAAGTGATTTTTGATGGGCTTATACAAGGGGGGGGGGGGGTCATATACGGGTCCTTATACAAAAAAAAAATAAATTAAAATTCCCTCTAATTATTAATATCTTCAAAAGACTTTTCAAGTACATCACTCATTTGAACTCTTTATCGGAAACAGCAATTGCCAAACAAGCTTTCCTAAT